ATGAGGAAAATTCCGCAATCAATCTCTCTCTCCAACTAGAACTATATTGGATTTTAGGTGTCCGTCTGTCCTAACCTTCAGTGTGACTATTGGTCGGCTCAGGTACAGCGATACCCGAGTTCTCTCGTAAATTACTCATTTCAAGTAAAGTCTACCACCCTACATATATATATATATATATATATATATATATATATATATATATGTATATATTGAGAGAGAGAGAGAGAGACTATTTTGACCCATAATACTTGACCTCACAATTATTACATGGTATTTGATGGACTAGGTTATTTTGCTGAATCCGGTCTACTGGAGCTTCAAGTCGGTAAATTTTCTCTCTGAGTGAGTTGTGGGTTTCAGTTCCACCTTAATTCCAGCCTTATTGAGAATCCTACGTAGATTTTCTGATGGGCCTTCTCTATACGGCAACGCTACAGAAGATTTGAATTCCTCTTAGGCATGTCGTAATTATAACTAAAATCATTGATTTCTTTTTCTTTCTTATAAATCCTTATAGGTGTCCTTGGAGGTGTCAAAGTAAACAAATTATAAAGTTTGCAAAGCTTTTCAAACAGGTAACACACAACTACACAGTGGGATATATACAAACATAAAGCACTCAACAACTGACAATCATACTATCAAGCGAGTACACAGGAGAACACAGCAATCAATAGCCCCGACCATCGGTTATAAGAATGAACATAAAAGTGTGGAGGATATCAGGATATTTACAATTTGCAAGCAAGGAATGGTTGCGTTTCAACAGTTGTGGCGTGAAGTAAGCTCGGGCTGAAAATAACTTATTATTGGTCAAATGAACGGTGTTGTAGTTCTTTCTCCATTCTACTAGTATGGATGTGAAATATGGACATTATAGAGAGAAGCAGATTAGAGAGGGCTTTAGGTATTTGACCGCCGTTGTCTTTGTAGCACAAGCCATGCATCGTCGTGGTGTCATCAAGTAGAGTATTGGAGGGTAGACTAAACTCAAATGATGAAACTGTCAACCTTCACCGACTGAGGTGACTCGGATATGTGGTGCGCATGCATGCATAGTCTTTGTTTGCCACGTCGGTAATGTTAACTAAATTATTTTTAGGTTGGAAAAAGGTTCAGGATAGATTAAAACATGACATCACTCCATGAAGTCTTTGACTGTTGCTTCAAATCATATTGGGAGATGCAGACTAGCCCGGTTGGATTTCAAGTGATAACAGAAACCAGTGGTCGGAGACTCTAGGCGATGATATGGCTCAGAATCAATGTCAGTGCCACAGACGCATCTACATATCATCTTCACTCCAACCGCTTTACTGAATTCAACATTTTCTCATTCCCCTTCCTCTATTTTACTCCTTCCTACCGCTTTTGACCGATTTTTCTTCTTTCCTTTATTTTTCACCTTACTGCATTGTTACTTGATGTGTTGATATGAAAAGGTGTGGCAACTTGGACGGATACGCAGTATTATGCCCTATGTCGTATTGATTTTGTTGTTGTGGTGCTGGTGTGTTCTTGAACCATAATGCTTCACTCTATGAATCAATGACTTTATAGATTGGTTTTAGACAACATTAGGATTTCTTTTTTTCAAGTATTCATATCTACTCTCACTCATGATGCATATGGGTATATTCTATGGTTTACCTATTACGTTATACAGATTACAAACTTGGAACACATTGAACATAAAGAGAAAGTAGGGAGACACAACCAGTTTCCGGGTGAGCGGACAGTGAGAGGTGTAGGGGATGCTGGGACGACATACAAAGCGTATATCAAAAACCAGCGAAGCCGGTGTTTCAAGATAACTACACTCAACTATTGATGATCTCCATCACGCCTGAACATATGCCGCCTCAACTCTGAGGTAAAAATACAGGGCTTTCCCATCGGATGCTAACAATCCTACGGAGACAAAGATGATCGAATACCCGGAATTACTGGACATTCTCAGCTGAGGCGACAACGTTTGCAGGTACAGAGTAGAAGTGCCCACACGCAACCTTTTTCAGGAAGGCTAACCTCACGACGGTTACAAAGGCAAAGCTGACTAACGTATACTACCACTCTGATTTTCGACATACGGTTGAAAATCTCACCATTCACACAATGACTCTACGCGCATAATACATCCAAGCATAATTTTCAACAGGCTTGTTTGTTTTTTTCCCCACAGCACTACCAAGTAACTGATCAACCTTTTTATTATCTCTAACATTGTAAGCTACACCTCAATATCTAACAACATCTAGAAACAGTAGAAAAACCATCAATAAAGCGTTTGAAGCGAGTGGGAACAACATCACTCCTCACTGGGATGCAAGTACATCTAGCTGATAAACGAGTTCCACATAGGACGAAAGGCACGTCCTGGATTCCCCTGCTAGCCACCAACCAAATCACATTAATGAACCACTTGTGAGCCTTTTAATAATGTCTACTGACCTTAAAATAGTCAGACATCTCCCGACTATACATAATTAATTCAGCCAGGCGTCGTGTGCCAACTGAAAATCGAAATCCACTCAACTCAGCAGCCTTGTCCACAATCATGAGTAGGGCTGCAATGGAATCACACACATTGTGCGAGAGCTGGGGATACTGACACTGCCTGACTGGCTGACCAAAACACAGTAGGTGGAGTGCGGTATTTGAACCCTTGACCTACAACTGGTTGAATGTCAACTCCTTAAATCAATGAGCCCTAGCAATAAAGTTTCCAGAAGGATGAAGCGTTAACTCACCACCCACATACACACACCAGCGTACACTGTAGAAACTTTAAGCATTGTAACACGCTTATGAAAACGAATTCGCTAATCAATTATTTACAACATGTGCGCAAGTCTTGTGTTTTTTAATGTGTAAACACTGTTAAAACAAACTAGAATTATTAGATAACCTATACAAATAAGTTGGTAGCCAGTTATGTTTAACGCGCATCTGTGTGTGTGTGTGTGGTGAACGTTTATATGTATCCATTTACTACACAAAACAATTTAGAAAACACCCAGAATCTTTTTTTTTTAATTTATTACTGAACTATAAACATTATGCCAACTGATCAATGAGCCAACTTTGTCATGATCTGGCTGGCTAGTGAAATCTACAGATCAACCTGACTGGTTTCCGGCGACTACTCAGATCGCTCCGTAGTAGTGTATTTCGCTAGTTCACGACACTCGTGTCGATTAGACTTTGTGGTGCTGGCTGAGTGGTTTCTAGCGGAAACCTTGTTGACTGGCACCACAGTTGGATTGTCATTTAAAAAACTACCAAATGTGAGAAATGTGGAGTTTGTAAATCATTTGCAAACCGAACATCTGATTTTAGGTATACCGGTTCATGCTAGCCAGATTCAGGTGATCTGAACTAATTCAGCTCTTTTATGAGCTGAATTTGTCCGGTTACGCCGCTGAAATGAGCTCGACCCCAAACGAGTGAAACGGTCGTCTGGTGTTTATACCACTCTCAGCTGGCTGGCGACCACCTTGGGTGGTTTCTAACTATCCATGTTGTTGAGTAGTAGTATCCTTCATCGTGAGCATGTTAATACTGTAACTACTGGTGAATACACCGAAAATGAAATTAAAAACAAAAGTAATCTCATCACAGTTTATACAATAAGAAAATGAAGTCTTAACTAGTGGACTATATGTTCAAAATCTTTTTCAAAACTGTACAAGGTCGGAGTTTCTTCGGAGTTGTGGCTCATTGGTTTGTGCAGTTGACTATCACAAGCACGAGTGGGTCCCTAGTCCGAACCCTGTTCCACCTAACGAGATTTGGGCAGTCAGGTAGTATAATATCATCAGTTGTCAGTTGTGGCTCAGTGCTTACTACACGAATGGGCACAGAGCGAAGAGGTAATTCAATTGATGGAGCTGTAAACTTACATCGACTCAGATGGCTGAGACATGCGGTACGCATGCCTAGCCACCGTCTTCCGCATAGCACAATGTTAGGGGGAGTAGATTCAGGTTGGAAGAAGGCTGAGGGTGATGAGACTAAACTACGACATCAGTCCATGAACTCTTTGACTGCTGGTCTGAGCCATGTAGGGAGATGGAGACTAGGCAGTTGAGGTCCGCGTGACAAAAGAAACCAGTGGTTGGAGACAGTAGGCTATAACATGGCTCAGAGTCAGTGGCACTTATGTATGTATAGCTTGAAATGTTACACAGTGACCCCACGTCCCATATTGAAGTTCAACGACTGAGCCAATTTCTGTAAGGCATTTTCAGTCTTTAGTATTTTTTGCTACTCGGAATTTGAAAGCATCTTAGCTCTAGTCACATCATCATCCTCTAGTGTCTTCAGATAGATTTCTACCTAACATCTCGTGGATTGCTGCCTGGAAAGTATACAGTGCTCAACAAGATAGAATACATTGCAGTTATAGTCAGATAGACCCAAGCCAGAACCAAAATAGAACCTAGCAGTAATGACATCAGCTTTCAGCCATTTCGTTAATTGGGATAAATGAAAAGAGACAAGTGGTAGGCAAAAACAGTCTATGAGTGATGCTCTATAAGCGACAAATACTTTTTACCACGGAGAATTGTTGAAAACCCAGGAGCATTGAACAGCGGCTGTTTCGTCAAAGTATGAGATTCCTGAGCAGTAGGGAACTGTAGGCCATTGAATTGCGACCCAGTGTGGCTCAACAATTAACGCGTTTGCCATGAAACCTGAAGGCCCTGGGTTCGATCCCTGGTCGGGTGGTGGGTCCGTACTGCCGGGGAGTCCCATGCTAGGACGAAACAGCTGTCTAGTGCTTTCAGGTTTTTAATGGTTCTTCAATTGATGGTATTCTATGATGAATATTACCTTAAAAATGAAATCTTCATTAACCTTAGAAAGACAAATACTTTATTATTACCTGTATGGATTAGAAGATGGGATAAGTGAAATCGGCTTACAGCAACAACAAAAACAAGGCATGGAAAATAACAGGAAACAATAACAGCTTTTTATCTAGATATAAATACCTTTAATAATTGTTTAGCCGGTTCACTTTCACCCACTGCCAATACATTGATTCCAGCGACACCGACAGCATCTTTTAACGAGCGATAGGCTTGAGGCAGCTTTACAATGGAAGTGGCATATTCAGGGAATGCACGCGCGACAGCATGAGCACCAGCTTCATTTGTATGCGCTGATATGCCGACAATAATCTCTTGACCTAAAAATGGCAAACAACGAAGGCTAGGAGTTGTATATGTAAGTGACTGAGCCAAAAACACAAATATCAGAGAGACATAAAATCAACGTAAAACATTTCATATACAGAAGTGTGTCGGTTTGAGTTGTTACACACTTCACAGTAGTATAGAAAGAACAAGTTAATGGAAAAAGAATAACATCGACGTTGACAAAGGCGTATGAGAGAAGATAAAGGTTATTGCGAATATTTCGACTTTAGAAGACGTATACGAATGAATACACCTGCGTCACTGTCACCTCAACCACTGATTCCTATTGCCATAAAGACCAGGCGGTCTGCAGTTCTCTACACTTCTCAGATCAACAGTGAGAAGTCACAGATTGGCACTACATCTTGATCTGGTCACCCTAAACCCTCTTACAACCTAGTTCAACTTACTCTAGTATGGCCCATCGAGGTAGGCGGGGGCTCGACATGAGCGACACAAGCGCAACCCACCTCAGCTGATGAAGGTTCACAACCTTATCAACCAAATTGCTTTCCTTGCTCATTGTCTTTTGTTTAGCATCGACACTGCTCACACGATGGTCACACAATGTCCGAGCAATGCTGTGAAGATGCTTGTGTTCGAAAACCTGTAGTCTTTGTATATCTTCTGGTATTAACGGTCATGTATCACAACTTTATAACAGGGGAATATCTTCATCCCCTAACAGGTAGTTGGATATTTTGCCAGTTGGTCCCAGAGATGATGCAAGTTGGTAAATGCCAAACGGGCTTCCCGTGTCCCAGCCCATTCGGCCTGATGCAACTCCTCAAAAAAGTAAAGTGATCAATGCATTCTTCCAGCTATGGTTAGCGTTAAATTCATGCCCGGTACTTTTCTAACTTATAATCATACTGTCACAACAACTTATGATCGACAGAGTCAAATGCAGCCTTCAAGTCAGGAAATATGGCATCTGAGGACATGTCAAAACGGGCACTGATGATCCACATTTCGACCTAAGCCAGTGGGGTTTCCGTGCGAAAATCCCTCCTCAGAAGTTGGTATTGTTCTCAGGAGTATGTGGCTGCAAATCAAACACCACTGAGATACTCATCTGACAAATAGATTTATAACTACTTAACGAGAATCAACAGTTGGATTACGGAAATTTGTAGGAGAATGGAGATGGCAAATATTTGACGCATTTGGGGATAAACTTTACTATTCAATAAGTGGATGGACCGCTTCACTTACCTGGGAAGTCGGATCAACCCTGGTGGGTCAGTAGCCGATGAAATCTATGCACGGATACGTAAGGCTTGATTGGCCTTCGCCAACTGTGAAACTGCCATGACATCTGAATCCCTAGTAAGGGTCGACTGTACTAAGTTGCAGTTCGCTCTATTCTAATCTATGGCTGGCTATGAAACGTGCCAATTAAAGTTAGACGACATGAGATGGTCTCTGGTACTTAAACAATACTACCTTCATAGCGTGGGCAGTGTGTCGTGGTGTCATCATGTCAGTAATGCAGAAGTCAGGTGTAGAGTTTTGGGGAGGAAAGTTAGTTGGTGAGGTCGTGAACCTCCATCGCTCAGGTGACTCGGACATGAGTTATGCATGCCTAAGCACCATCTGCCTCGTAATGCAATGTTGGCTGAATCAGGCCAAGGCTAGAAAAAGGTTTAGGATAGACAGATTAAAACATGACATCACTCCATGAAGTCTTTGACTGTTGCTTCAAATCATATTGGGAGATGCAGACTAGCCCGGTTGGATTTCAAGTGATAACAGAAACCAGTGGTCGGAGACTCTAGGCGATGATATGGCTCAGAATCAATGTCAGTGCCACAGACGCATCTTCACTTCAATCGCTTTATTGAATTCAACATTTTCTCATTCCCCCTTCCTCTATTTTACTCCTTCCTACCACTTTTGACCGACTTTTCTTCTTTTCTTTATCTTTCATCTTACTACATTGTTACTTGATGTGTTGATATGAGCAGGTGTGACAACCTGACCCTCACGCAGTAATGCCTGGTTCTATGTTCATGCTGATTGATGAATTGTGATTATCCAGTTGGTATATAACAAGTTTTGAAAAGTAGCATGAATACATAAATTGTCCAGAAACAGGTTTTGGTTAAGCATTTACGATCATCTTTTCAATCTGATGATACGGTTGAGCGTGGTATTCATCACGAATTGACACCGGTCACACAACTGTTGTAAACCTAGGAAAACTTGGGAGTTATTTCATCCTAGTATAAGACTACTCAGAAGTGTGGACTCCCCAAACCCCCAAACCAAATTACTGTCCACTTTTCATTAGTGACTTGATATGAGATGATATTTCTTGAAGTTCCAGTGTAAACAGCTATGACACGTGGGGTTAACCAAGTTGAGTATGAGGACAGCTACATACCGAAGACATTGCATGGTAGTTACATGCGAGCTATGTCGTCAACTGGGAGAAGTAGGAAAAAGTGGAGTGTTTGATTTCGGCTTAGTGGTTGAATGTGCCTGTCGTGGGACCTAACAGTTTCGGGATCGACTCCTGTTGGGGTTATGAGTAGGCACTGCTGAGGATTCAGTCCCATTCTACAACAGAACAGCTATTTATTGCTGCAAGGTTTTCAATGGTCCTTCAAATGATATTAATCAGAAGTAGGTACCCCACAAACCTTTTGACTAAATATCTAGTGCATGATTTGTCATGAAAAGCATTGTGCATGAATGTTAGGGTCAAAATTGATAAATTCGTCTTCAGGAGAATTCAGAATAAATTAAGTGAACGACAATTCAGTTTACAACCCTGTCATGTTGGCTACCATTTGTTGATATACTTGTAATTCTTCATTGTTACACAAATCAACTTTGCATAATATAGTTCATCTACTCAGCACATCTTCATACAAGTAACGACAGAAATGTTTACAATGGCACATAAACTCTCTGAACAAACGGAAGACGTGTCTTGAAATGTGAGAAGTGGAGAAATAATGAAGAGCTTAAGTTTATCGCTAAACCGACTAAGATATATAACGTTGCTAGTCTACACTTACCGCTTACCCTGACTTAGAATGCCTCGATTGACTCAAATGGCTGATTGTTTCCAGTTTTCAAGAAAAGATGAAACTCCTCTCTTGTTGACCACAGAGAAATAAGTCTGACGAACGTAGTGCCACTGATTCTAGTTTCAATTCCCAGCTAACTAGAGTTCAGGAACAAAAAGCTAGAGAAAATAAGGCAGACTTCATACCTATCTACTAGACCTTTACCGTGCACCAGGTACACGCAACCATGTTAGGTCTTATGAAGACTTGTCATCAGAATTGAAGACAACTACTGGTTTCACTTCCTTATACATGTACTGATCGACATAACCTTAGTTAGGTATGTCTGACTTCACAGGGATAGATTCACCTACTACTACTACTACTCCATCGAGGCCGTCTGCTTGATTTCCAGTATGCAGACGATATTGTCTTGCTAGGTGAACACGCTGGCAAAATCCACGGTCTTCTCCACGTGTTCACTACAAATATCAGTATGTTCGGCACCTGTCAAATATGAGTGAGATGAAGGAAGCTCCACAACTCGTCTCCAAATGACTTTCATTTAACGATACGCAGTGAAGTCGTCCAATGTGTCGACCAATTCACTTACTTCACTTCGCCACTTCCATCAACCTGAACATCCTGGTTCCTAACGAAATCTCACCTCGCATACAAAAGGCTCGTTTCACATTTCACAACTCCCCACATACACGACTACCTACACACCCACCTACCTACCTACCTATCAATCAATGCACGAGGAGACTGCACTCTACTCAACTCAACTCCCTTATCTCACGCGCCTCTACGGCTGTGGAACATGCCCATCAAAAGTAGAAGACATCAAGCATTTATCCGCTTCTCACCATACATGTCTAAGTAGCATTGCTCGCGTTTGGTGCAATCAACGCCGTGTCACTAATGTTCAGGTCAGGCGAACGGTACTCTACTCTTTTCTACTGTACTGTTCTGTACTACTAGGCAAAACAGGCAAGTTGATTGTTGACGATGATGTTGTCAACCATCATCCACTGAGATGGCTTCGACATGCTACCAGTCGGTGAAATCTCTAACTGTTTTTCTGTCTCTGGGAATTTAACACTACCTGGTTCGGGTCCTCCACACGATACATGAATCAAGCAATCAATCAGTCAGTCGGTCAGTCAGTGCTTGACGACTATTAATGACACGCCTGAAAATATACCACAGTTACGTAGTCAGCCCTATTCACCCCTACACATCTTCTGAAGCTTGGCATGTTTACACTAACCTTCACATTGTTTATTTTCTCACACTACCCTATCTACTTTTATATTACTCTTTTCCTATCCACCTGTTCATTATGTACTACTGTGCGTCAACTGTGGTAAATTCAGCCGATGCACCAATGTGTCAATTTTTTGTCAGATCAGAAAAGCATACCAAACATTTTCAGATTCCCACTCAAGGTGTCCAGAGGATTTTGCATATTGATAGCGTCTTCATCTAACAGGATTATCATAGATCTACCAATTATTCTCTAAAAATAAGATTAGTTCTTGTGAAGTTAGACGTCATTCAACAAACAATAAAAATATCTGTGATAAAAATGAATAAAAACAAAGACTGAACATCCTTGGTGGACGCCACTCGACATGTACAACTCACCTGATAACCTTTTAGACTAACACGTCCAGGAATGTTTGATTATAGGACCTTCGACTTATTCAGCACCCTCTTAAGTGAGAAAAACCGTCATAAAACCTCTCGATCGACGGAGTGGAATGCTACTATGAGATTGAGAGTTACAGCTATTGTCGAGCATCGGTAGGTTTGCTTGTGTTCAAGAACCTGGAGGAGTGTGAATACCAAGTCGGTACACCCACATTTAGGTCTCAAGCCTGCCTGATTTCCCAAAGGTACGTTATTCCCAAGTTCTAATGTCTATAGGATATAATCTTGGACACTACATTTATCAGGGCGATTCCCTGTGGTTATCACAGGAGGATTTCTCGCTTTTGTTGAAGACGGGGACAATCAGTGTTTGAAACTAGCTATATCTGGCTCCCACACGTTAGTTAACACTTCAACTAATTCTACCAAGTTCCTCTATCACCGTCACTTCGTCTAAATTAGTTGAATTTATAGCAATTGAAATCGTTACTGTGTATTCAGTAAAGACTTGGTATCCCAAGCATTTTGTGTAACACTCAAACAAGGTGTCATCTCATAGTGTCTCGCAAAAGTTATTTCTCTTGATATTGTAAACTGTAGTTGAAAATGAGTGGAACCGCAAAGAAATCAGACACAACCACCATGAAACCAACAACTGGAGCTCATGGGCAGGGCGAATGGGAGAAGCTCCAGAGGGATGTCTGCTGCAGGGATGAATGCAGCACGATGGGTCTGGTAGCCGTAACACCGAGTTTACATAAAGTGCAGTTTTTAAGCATTTCTATCAAGCCTATCAACAAAAAATGCTGCATTTTTATACATAAAATACTACTTCTTAGAAATTCTACCTTATATGACAGTCAAGATTTCTTTGGCACAAAATAGCAATGATATAGATTTCTGGGAAGATTACCTGTGAAAAGAACATCACTTCCTTCAACCTGAGCATTTTCTGTATTAAGCTCAACAATTTTAATCCCCAGTTCTTTTTTAAGAGTGTGACGAATTAGATTGACCTAAATTTACGTCAAAGTAAAATATCTTACTTCTCCTTGTCTATGACAACGATACGGATTGCACATTAGCGCTGTCCCATTTATAATAACAGCTGTATCGTCTACCTTGACACATTCAGGATGGCGTTCATCTGCTTCCATTTCAAGAACATCAACACCATTCTGTCTTAATGCTTCGACAAATTTCTCCCTTTCACTACATGCCTCTTCGTAATTGAACTTTCCACTTTTTTTGACTGTATATTTGCATCTGGAGATGTCAGAAACTCTTCAAATGACTTTGGTATTTGGCTGACTACTGCGTATTCATACTGGAAAGCCATTATGTAACGACCAGTTGTTGATATGTTTTGGGCTAGCCTGTAGATAGGTACGTTGTTGCAGGGAGCGCGCAGAGCAGTGTCAGTTTGGTGATGGCCACGAGAATCTGGGAAAGAAAAAGGAAGAGGAGAAAGGTGAGTCAATGACTCAGCAAGTACATATGATCTACTTGCATTTAATAATAAAAGATAACTGACAAACGGTAGAGCTGGATAGCGAAGAGGTGAGGCGGTCTAGAAATTAAAACTCTAAGGTGAATGAGTAAGATTTCGAATGCACTACAATTACAACGGTACCGTCCAGCGCAAGCTTTGCGCAAATATGTACAGTATTCAATATCTGGCATCCAAAAGTAAATGTGCGGATACAGGAAACCTGTAGTTTCTGAGCTCTCGCTTCTAGGTCTTGAGGCTCGCCTTATTTTGTTAGGTTGTGCTTCTTCACTGGTCACAGAAGTCTTCACGTTTTTCCTACTTGCAACTATGGAGGTAATGATTGCCTGTTTGAAGGTATTTTTTCTTGCAAATTGTGCTTTTGTTTATCTGAGAAGCAACGGAGATGTTGACAAAATCAATCAACCTCCCTTAGTTTCTCTTATCAAGGACACCTGAAGTTAATTATTAAGTGTAACTCAAAAGTGCTAGAAACAGGGTGAGTGGGGAATAAGAAAAATATGGGTAAAAAGTACTTATGGAAGAATAAGTGTTACTAGAGAAGGGAGGCGTCTTATTACAGATATTGGGGTTTGGAATACAGGGGGGTGAGCACATTCAGTTGCTACAGGCAAGTGTTCAAGGTAAGCCGTCTGCGCTCATGTACTTATCCAGTAGTCTTTTTAAGAAGCCAACCGAAGTATATGCGGCTACTTCCTTCGGAAGTGTTCTATAAGACACTTACTCTGCGCGAGAACAATTTCCACCTCTCTCTCGTCTCTGCTTTATGGTGGGGTACGTGAGCGGGGTTCCCGCCAGTCTGTCGGTTTTGGGCCGATAATCCTGACCTATTATTGTGATCCACTTGATTAATGAACTTGTAGCCCGCTATTGGGTCACCTCTATTCATTCGATGGCTTTATGCGAGCAGATTGGGTTTTCTTGGACTTTGCGCATATGTTCTGTTACTCCAACAACCGACTTTGCCGCTTTTCTCCACATCTTCTTGAGTATTCATGTCTCTCTTTAACAGAGGGGGTGGGTGTCATGTTGAATACATCTAAGCGTGATCCAGCGTGGATTTTAAATAGCGTGAGGAATAGTTACGTGGTTAGCACTTCAATCTACATTCTCAAAAAACGCACGACGGCATTAGCCTTCGGTAACAGCATTAACGCCTCTGGCTCAACTACTGGTAGCTTCACCTTGGTTATCAGGAAAGCCAAAGCCTGATAGCCTGCGCCTAGGGGGGTTGGACACATATAATCATGGTCTGTAAAAGCGTTGTCAAGTGGTGATCCTTTTTCATCTGACCCCCATCTGGTGTTTTCTCAAACGTTCTCTATTAATCCTGCTTCCATAAGAGTGTTTTGAGGGCTGTTCGAAATATTTATGTCCACATCTTGCTTCGCATCCATGGTTGAGTGCCCGCGTATTGAGGTCTCCAGCAAGGACCGCTTGGTCGTAGGCTGCCGAGGTGGATGTCAACACGGCGGCGAGCAGTTATGCCTTGTTTGTAGAAGAAGCCTGTACACCACTCGTGGTAGGTACTTCGTTTGGTTTGTGGGGAAATAACACTACGAGAGGCCTGGCAATTGGACAAAGACTCCGTCTGTCTCCATCTTGACTTTTAGGTGCGTCCTGGTGTATATAACCACTTCTCCACCTTTGAACGACCTGTCCTTTCGAAAAAGGTCATGCTGGGTAAAGATATTACCTGGCCCACGATATCTGGTGAGAGCCATGCCTGCGTAATCACAGTTACATCTGCATGCAGATTGTAGCACACTGTTCCTAGTTTCAGTAGTTTGCTTCCCAGACCCTTTACGTTGACGTAGAAGCACTTCAACAAGCTACGTTCTGGGCTTATTACGGTACGGGAGCTTGTAGAAAGGCTAGTGAGATGTCGGATCGGATTTCGACTGCCAGCTCCTATTGAACTGGTAAGGCTCCGCTTTTCGGCTCTTTCTAGCATCCTGGTGATCGTGTGACAGTGGTCTTCATCATCATGTCTACAGGCACTAGTTCACTAGACAGGTCTTTTATGGCTAGTACCGTCTGTAGTGTTCTTGGAGGCGCCTTCCTTCCAGTCTATCGGATCGTGGTTTACTTTCACAGCATTGTATGGCACCTCCCATTTGATCCTTTACGTGGTACCGCACTCTGAGAGCTTCTTGGAGTGGTCCCCGGGAATCAAAGAGTACAGCTAGGGCCCCTGGTGAGAAGATGCTCAGCAGGTAGGCAGGTCTTGATAATCTGCTTACACTGGTGACCCGCAGTTTATCTGGCTTCACCCTCATGACAGAGGAGCTTGCGGTGCCTGGTTGTCGCGATAGCAGCAGTATGTCCTCCTACCGTTTCGCCTTCATCAGTAACACCCTAGGAGGTGACGGCTTATCTCGAGGGGCTCTACTTCCGGAGAGTCGATAGAAGCTAACTGCAATGGGTTCCACTCCTGGCTTCTTGTAGTAGTCAGCCCACCTCTCCTTGCCAGGCTGCCTTCTTTTCTCTAAGAGTGGGTCTGTTGATGTGGGGACGTCAAACGGAATGATGGAGTCCATTATTTTGTCCCGTGAGTGCAAGGTATCGGGTTCGGTAGCCAATGGTTTTGGTCTACCCCTCCTCCCATTAACTTCCGTCCACGTGTCCCCAATGCAAACTGTTTCTTCGGTTGTTTAATCCCGTTGAATCGTCTGGGTTGCATCGATACAAGTGAGGACCGCGTTGGTGCCTCACCTGAAGTGGGGACTGGTAGCTTCCTATGCCTAGAGGTGACATTTTTGTACGCTTGTGGAGCTCGCCCAGTTCCTGTGGGAAGATCTGGGGAGCTCACGTTCAGTAACATGTTTGGCTGTACCAAGTCCTCCAGTTTGCCGGTGGTGATAGCTGGTGGTTTCCTAAATTCTGGGCACATTTATCATATCTACATAAACAAGCGCCAACTCATAGAGCTGTAGTGCTGACCTGGTGTACCATTACCGTTACCCATTTTAGACGAATGTTGCACGTAAAGGCTTCTTGAGCCTCCAACACTGATTCCTTGCAAACCCCACAGTCGTTAGAGGTTTACTCACTTACGATGACCGAATGGTTTGCCTTCTGTAAGTTGAGGTCAACTGTACAATGCACTGGTATATTCGCCTGTCGCCATACACGCCGTTCCCGTCTTTTATGTTTTACTGACGGGGTTTTTGAAGGTGTATTATAGTCACTCTGACGTAGAATTTGGCTGGTTCTGGAAAACGCTGTGTCGGGTGTGACAGTGAAACAGCGATCCTGGATGATGTGAGCACTGTCGTGCTTACCCTTCCTGCACAGACTAGTTTCTGTCCATCTGCCGATCTCACCATATGAACCGCAGCTGGTGACCTATCACAGTTAATTGGAGCAAAATGTGTCAACAATGTAAAGGACAGGGAGAAGTGCACGGCGGAGAGCTTTCCACCAGAAACCCGATACCCGGTCTTTCTCACTTTGTCGGCAACTTCAGCCGAATACTCCGAGTAAGTATATGCAGACGAAGAAGGATGTTTCCTGGTGAATGACCCTCAATGGGAGCTCAAAACTATAGCAGTCGGATGACTACGAATCCCGGCAAAAGGTGTTTCCGGGCCGGGACGGTACATCGTTGTAAGTAGCTACCCTTGGATACAGTTGACTTTCTGAGTTGTGTTCACTGTTGCGGTACGGTTGACAGTTGTTTTTCGGCAGTGAACACTGTAGTATTGTCTATATAATGGAGATGAAGAGATCACAACAATGTTGCTGTTGGAAGACTGATGGTTCTTCTTCTCCTTTCTGCATGGTAGCCTAAAGACACACAGGCCAGCACTAATCAGGCGACGAATAAGAGAAAAATTTAACGTGAAGAAGAGACAGGAAATCGATGTATAACAGTGTTGAGTGTCTTTGGAAAGTTGAGGTTATAGAGACTGCGTGGAGTTATTCATAAACCATTTAAGCCTAAAATTATACCTCCTTTCCATCATTTTATGCACATGCTGTGCACTTCCTGATGCCTGTAAAAATGATTGTTTTTCATCATCCGTGTGGTGGTGTCGCTGTAGTTCTGCTTCTTAAACCGGGATATATAGAGTGCTTCCATCTACTCAGAGCTCTGCCTCCGTCAACCTGACATGAACATTCATTGATCGTCCCTGGATTTTACGGGACCTCTAATCCTACTTCCAAACATTATGACAGTCTAGCAAACCAACCTCGACTCTGGAGCGCTAACAGATATCGCCTTATGAACTTACATTAGAGTGTACTAGAATTGTGGTGGATGGTGCCGAAAAGATAGCATTCAAGTGACCGATCATTATTCATAGCACATACTACTATCCCGCATTATAATGCCTGACCCCTCATGTTTGTGTATAACTGTATCTGTTCCTGTTAATTGTAGTTAACTTGACATCTTGATTTACTCGGCACCTGTTTGGGTGCGATGCATACCGAGAACATTTTTGGATGGCGGTGCGAAAGTGCTATCGCCGGTTGTTAGGGTCAGAGGCCACATTCGTGGGATATCATACTGTATGCAAAAGTGCTTATCTGGAGATCTTTTGAATGGTCCGGCTTCCCTACGATAAGGAGTTTCATGGCTCGCGTACTTCCAGGGAAAAGATGTTATCTCTGGCTCTGGTATTAGCCTTTTCATTAGTTTCACTCGGTAGGTTTCAACACAACTTCTGGTGTAGTAGCAACTGTTTTTTTTTACGACAGCTGGCAAACATTTTTATACGCTAACATCGGGCGGCTCATAGTCTAGAGTGAATGGGCAAAGCTGTCAGGGTAGCTGGGAATAAGTTAAGGCCCTGGGCCTGGCACCATCTTTCGTTTCCCTTCTCCGCAATCTATTCAGAAGTCTCTAGCCCCGCCTGAGCAGTCAGTGGGCCACTGAGTTGGGAAGCTCAAGGTGCGGTCTGACAACGGGTTTGAAGACTGCAAGAAAACAGTCGGGATAGATAACCACCCGCTATCTCCACATGAAGTGTGCAACGGAGCTCGCCCCTGCAACCGTTTATTCATCATTGAAACTATTGTCTAAAGTGACAGGGAAATCGAGGCCCAAATCCTTCTAGTAATCGCCCACGGAATAGTGTTACCTTTTTCATGTAGTTCACTCTTCTGGATTTAGGTGTTATAGGACATTAGTTTTCCCTTTTCCTTGCTAACGCACAGACCGTTTCCCATAGCCCGAAATTCCACTTGTGATAGACATTTGGAGCTACTCTTTATTTTCACTATCAACTCATAGGGTCTGTTCTGCATATGTTATCCAGTTGTGGTACATTAGAACAACTAAAAAAATCACTAAATACTTCGTACCATTACTCAACCCTTTGGTCCAGCCAGAAGAGTTCCTTCCAAGAGACTGAATTCAGCATTAAGCTTTCAGGTTAATGCCCAGGTGTGGTAGAGAAGGTGGCCTTCATGATCATTTGA